TTGTCTTTAAAAACATCCACACCTACTTCGTTTACACCCATTATACCCAGGGCCGTCCCGAAGATTAAAATGAAGAGGGGTGAATAATATGAAAAATGCCGACTACAATTTTTTTACTGAATGTATGTAGTATAATTAACTATAGTAGTCGTATTTTTACTTTTTAATATGTATATATATGTGTCAATGCCGCACGTTTTTAAAATTGACAGTTTAATTATATATATATAATAATATTTTATATTGTATACGTATAATAAGTAGTTATATAAATTTTATTCGTGTATACACTATATTACAAAGTATGTAATATTTGCTTTCTGCAAGTAAAATTAATAAAACAAGTCCGACTGCCGACCGGTGTTTTTGTTGGGAGGGGGGGGGGTGAAACACTCCCCCTAAGACTCCTCTTCAGGACGGCCCTGACTATACCATCAGAACAAAACATACCAAAAATGTCTACAGTTCTAAAATCAACATCAAATAATAATATAAAACCAACTTTCTTACGTTCTTCAGTGAACTTATATAGTAACATTACTAAAAGTGCTTCTCCTAAAATTATAAAAAAAACACAATGATCTACTGAAATTTAGTGAACTATCCTACACTTATAAGTCACAATGATAAAAAACTAAATAATAATATTACACAAATGACTACACTATACCAGTTTTTTCTTATTTTTTTGATGAAGACATACTAACAAAAATAAAACATGAAAGTGAACCTTATGCTTCACAAATAAATATAAACAGTTCATTTGTGTCAAATGAGCTCAAAAGATACTTAGGTATTTGCATTTACAATTCTTTGTGTATTATTCTAAACATCAGAAACTATTAGGGTGACCATCTGGGAATGTTTATAATTCACTTAGTCAAAAATGATTTATAGAAATAAGACGACATTTTCATTTTAACGACAATACCTCAATGCTATCGAGAAATGACCCAAATTATGACAGGTTACATAAAATCCACCCTATATACCCTATATTCATCACCTAAATAATAAATTTAATTATATACCGCAAATAAGAGACTTATTTATTGATGAACAATTTTGCGCTACTAAAGGTAAAAGCTATTATACATAATTACTAAACCTTACAAATGAGGATACAAATTGTTTGTTCTTAGTGACGTCAATGGGTTTTCTTCCAATTTGAAATTTATAGTTGACAAGAAAATGAACAACGTTTCCGTTTGGCAAACGAGCCTGATCTTGGTGCTTGTGGAAATATTGTTTTGAGGTTGCCTCGAAATGTAGACAAAAATAAAAACCACCAGTTATATTTTGATAATTATTATGCAAGTACACCTTTGTTGTCATATTTATACGGAAATGGAATAATATCTCTTGGGAGCGTAAGGAAAGATCGTTTGACTAATAATAAATTACCAAATGAAAAAGAATCTAAAATTCAAAATTGTGGTAAATCATTTGAATATACGTGTATATCTACATACCAAGATGCTCCGATATCAGTAACATGGTGGAAAGAATAAGTCTGTAACCATGTTATCAACTTACTGTGGTTCACTACCTATGTTAAAAAATCATAGATTCGAAAAAAAAGTTAAAAAACAAAATCGAAGTTGATTGCCCTCATTTCATAAAAGAATACAATCGATTCAAGAGGGGTTGATTTACTAGATAAGCCTTATAGGTCGTTATAAAATATGACTGAGACGCGTAAATGATTCATGCGTTTGTTTTATCATATGGTGGACATGTCGATTGTTAATTTTTATAATTACGATTCAACAAAACGGCAGATTCTGTTCTCGGACGATCCGATGCGACAAGATTAAATTGAAACTGGATCGGTTGCATGTACATACATACAAAGATTCGCCAAGAATTGAACTCAGTAAGGTTTTAGTCGATCATTTTCGCAACTCCTCTGCCATAACTCACGACTATAACACAAGCCGTGTCAACGAGCTTTTACATCGACATTATCATATCAGCCAGACTTAATCATGACCTTTGAAAACGATAATATTTACTTCGTCCATGCAGCGAAACTACGTCATCGCATGGTATTTCAACCGGGTTCGCAGTATATTCAGAAGCGAAAAGTTTTTAAACTTTAACGATGAAAAAGTCGGTTAATGGCGATTAATACGAATTTACTACATTGACGTGCTCGACGCAAGTTCGTTAAAAGTTTCAACGCCATATCGGCGATACCTTTTTAAGCTACACGATTGCGTACGAAGGTATAAACGTCGATACCAATTTCCATACCAGTATTGGTATATACCACATGCCTATACGAGAGAACTTAAAAAAGTTAATAAATATTTTGTGTTTTATTGCTTTTGTTACTAATGCTTATTGATATATGATTTATATGATATCAAATATATCAGATATAACAAAATGTCGTTATCTTTGTTATATTATACGGTATTTTCCGAGTTTAAGTACAAGTAATAGATTATAGATGTTAACTTTATTATTTGTATTATACTGTATATATGAATACACCGAATTTATTTATTTATTTATTTTATTTTATTATTTTTATTTATTTATTAATTTATTTCATGGAATCAGCAACGTTATCGCAGAATACGTGTAATGGGCAATTTGGCTACCATATTCACGAAGTCGGGAAATTGTGATTGCTGATTTCGTAAATTTGATTTCTGCTGTTTGCACGAATTTGGTAACACATTATTATGATATAATTACAAATAGTGGCGTATGGCAGTAATTGAAAATTTCCTCCCTCCTTTTAAAGTTGGTGACAATGTGCTGGTGTCAATCTCGTTTGTGGATCGAGGGCGAGGTGATGCAGCCAACCTTTTTGCAGTTATCATAGAAGAAAAAGATGAAAAAGAATCCCTAAAGAAGGGATTTTAAGCATATGGCTGGAACGGAACACTATTGCAGCTACAAAGTACTGTTCCCTGAAGACTGCAGACGTTCAACAAAATTAATATTCACGAATTACGGGAACTTGTTAGATTGGGGTAAGTTGAGACCAAACAAGGCTATTGATTGGCAATATATTGACGTATTTGTTGTACGAATTGCACATCTAAAAAGTGCACATGTAAAAAAAATAATATAATGTGTAATTCGGCGTGTCACCCAGGCCATAATTGCCAAAATATTTAAATAAAATACAATTTTTTTTTATTTACCTTTTATACACATTAAAATGTATTTATTATTTTTTTATATTTCCGGTATTTTACACATTTATACAATTAATATTAAATATTAAAATATTATAATATAATAATATATATATATTATATTGTAATAATAAATTGTATTATTACAATTTGATTTTATTATATTTCCAGCGTTTTATACATTTATTTAAATTAAATAATGCTTTATAATTTCACGCAATCGGCAGTATTATGTACTTTGAGTATCGATTTCATGTATTCCGTGACAACGTTGCTGATTTCATGAAATCAACAATTTCATAAATTCGGTATAACATATATATTCTATATTTTTTAGATATAATACGGTGAAATTAGTAAATTTGACAACGTTGCATACAATTTCATACGCAATCGTGTTTATTTATTTTTCTCATCTACCTTTTTGTTACCCATCTACAATCTTGAGATAACATAATCGACTTATTCACCAACGATTTATTTCAAGTTTAACTCACCACTCGCTTTTTTTAATTAACTACATATTTTATTTCGAAAATTTCAAGGGGTTTTTCTCGACGTATATAGACGTATATAAAAAAAGATATAAGACTTAAAAATGGAGAGACTTAATAGTGGCAACGCAGATCCTTAATGGACCGTTAAGCTTAGCGACACTTCACCTGTTATTCGATGAACACCACCCGCATCGCTTTGTTCACTGTCGGTTTTCGATTGTAGCGGATATACCATAGCACTTGTTGTACCGTCGCAGTACTGTACCGTTTACATACTTTATGTTAAGTCTACTTTAACGAATCAACATTAAATGTATGTAATCTCAGTGTGACTTTTTAGCGAGTTTTAATGACACTTCGTTGTAACTATCAACTAATCGTTCAAACAGTGGCAAATTATGATAGAATACATAACTGTCGGAATATCCATTTATCAAATTATATTTGTATTGTTTTCATTTGTTTTTTATTTTTTAGCGATCGAATATAATGAACCGATATTCAGCTACTCCGGCATGTCTTTCGGAGTATAGGTACCTACCACAGTTTTTGTTGGGTACCTATATGACTTGATGACACTACTGCTCAACATGGTTCCCTACATTACGCGTTCTACTTACAATGCCAATAACGCTATTCATTTACTATTCAATCCATATTATGTAGTTATTGGCTTTCGACATTAATTTATATAATCTGATGTGTTACAATCAAAAATATTTTTATAATTTTTTTTAATACACTACCGTAGCGATAGTGGCCATAATCAGTTCATCTCTATCCAATGGAGAAATCGATTTGAATACATTTATAGTCAAAAACCGATAGACAAACCATAGACAAACCGCACGAACGGTTCGACAGTATGGTATAATTTGGTTCACGTTATATTTGCTTGGAGTAGTTGAAAATAATTTCGGGATTTTAGTGTGTGTATAATTTTAAAGAGAGACACATCAGTAGGATAACCGATCACAATGTAATCCGTAAATTTTCAGAAGCCGTTTTAAATAATTACAAGGGGTAACGTTTTCATCTAGTCAAATAGAATTTTGTTGTTTACTTACCTTTTGATTTTGGGAGCATTGGAGGTTGCAAATAAAGAGTACAAAATATCAAGGCTTTGTTTGGAATAACATACAATGGTTCTTTAATTATAATATATTTAACTAATTTCTAATCAAACAAATTCTTACAATTATTATTGTTTGCGATTTATTGTTTACAAAATAAAATGTAAAGAGTAATTTGTTAAACATACGCGTATATTCTATTAATATAGTTGTATGAAATAAAATATTATATTAAATATTAAAATTTTTGACGAAATCCCCGTGTTTACCGTGAGTATATTTGGACGAATTGTGTCATCGCGTGCCAAAATGTGCGTAGACATGTTCTAAGAATCTCATACACCTTCGTTGTTTCGTGTCACGGTATCGCTCGAATCGTTTTCGACCGTTAACCGATTGTTGTCGACTACAATGATATACTATAATGTCTGCACGTAGCACAATCAGCAGTCAATCTTTTCGAACGGATATTCTGGATGATCGAAAATGCTAGAAACAAAATAATGGATTAACTATACAGTGGATTTCGTCATGGGATTATCTTACTTGTTGAAGAAGTTAAACCGTATAATCCGCCCGGGTTCTCCTGCATCTTGATTCTTTAGAGTTTCCATATCTTCCGCGTCCAACTCAAAGTCGAAAAGCTTTTAGGAAAACAAAACGATTAACTATTTGCAGTGGTACATAGTTAACACGCAGTATATTATAACCGCTATTATAATATTATTTAACAATTAGAATATAATAAAACACATATTAAGAAGGAAAACGAAATTAATGGGGCACCTATTCAGACATAACACATTTATGAAAAATATCTTTGAAGGAAAGATCTTGGGAAAAAGATCTAGAGGACGCCCAAGAACATCATATTTCCAAGACTTCAAACATCTCATGGAGGTCACAACATATTCAAAATTGAAAAACATGGCAAAAGACAGAGACCTATGGTTATCACGACAAGGCGAGGCCTTTAGATGATGATGATGATGATGAATTGGATGGCAATATCAGTATAATACGTTGAAATAAAACTTAAATGGACAGTGTAGTTTTAAAATGAGTTACAATAACGATAGTGGAAAGCTATAATACATTTTTATTTTTTATCGATAATTGATATTGAAATATCGATATTATACAGATACGTCTATGTATTCCTCTATCGCTCTTGTTTCGCTTACATATGTTAGAACTCATTTCAATAACTAAAACGAGTTGACTATTTAGTTATTAATGTCATACATCAGTCCATACATCATAATCAGTTATTCGAACCTTTATGTTTAACGCCAAGCGTTCTGGGTTTGTGCTTTTTGGTATGACCACGATATCCCGCTGGACGATGTACCGCAACAACACCTGGGATGGAGTCTTGCCGTGTTTTTTTGAAATACTTAACACCTCTTCGTTTTCCAGCATTTCCGGTAATTCTTTCCTGAAACAATATACCCTCGTAGTTATTGAACGTCCTACAGTCAACGCAACTCGTCTGCTTAATTGCTAATGTTATTACGCCCAATTGATCGCCATCTTTTCCCGGTTGTTTTTCGATCCCAAGCACGAGTACGCGGTCACGACGATTCCGTTGTCCTTGCAGAAGTCCACAAGTTCGGGCTGCTGAAGGTACAGATGATGCTCTATCTGCAGATTGTCGGGCTTGATCCTGCAGTTGTCAAGTACGTTTTGTATCTGTTTGATGTTAAAGTTCGACAGGCCGATCGCCTTTATACGACCACAGTCCACTTGTTTCTCCAATTCCTAGAAACAAGAATAGTGGTCATGAAATTCGTCGGTCGATCACGTTATACGATCGACACAGATAACGATAAATCAATTATGGTATCGCATAGGTCCGTTATTTACTTTCCACGTAGCCAAGTTGTCCGTACTGGGGTCTATTTTCATGGTGCCGTAGTTCGATTCGTCTTCCGCAATCACGGTGAACGGAGTGTGTATCAGGAACAAGTCGATGTAGTCCAGTTGTAAGTCTTTCAGTGATTTCTCTACAACTCTATCGACGTCACTGGCACGGTTCGAGAAAGGAGGAAGCTGCAAATACGTTCGGCGGTTATAGATATGCCTTACACTTTGTACTTATGTTCAACAATAACAATCAGTGTTCGGAATACCCAATTCCAATCGCTGATCATATACCTTGGTGACAATGAACAACTCGTCCCTGGTCACTTTGCCCGACGAGATCCATTCATTGATAACCTTCCCAATGACATGCTCGTTCTTGTACGCAACGGCCGTGTCGATATGCCTGTAACCACTTTTCAGAGCAACGTTTAACGCTGATTCCAAAACGTCGTCTAAAGCCTGTGACATAATTATAAAAAATATTATAATTGATATCAAACAACTCATTTGATTTTTAATACATTTATGTACGGTGGTCATGCAATAAATACAAGCATTTTATTTGTATTATTACTGTATATTGTCTAATTTTCAGTAAATATTTCAACGTGTAAAATACTTGATCTACGCAATGGCAAAAACTTTTCATTATTTACACCGTTCAAAACAATAAAAGAAAATTTATCAAAATAAATGTGTCTAACCTTAAATTTACATGATATATAGTTTACAAATCATTTTAATGTACAATATATTAAATCATGCAACATAGATTTATAATATGTTTTTATAATTTTTTTTTTTAACTTACCAGCGAGTACGCTTTGAAATTTACCTTAAAATTATTTGCTAAGTAATAAAAAGAAATAATTGTGAATATTATATTTGATTTATTTCTATGAATATGTAAAATATCAAAACAATGTTTTTATTATAACATAATATTATCACTTTTGTATAAAGTGATATTGTTTTGATAACTGTATTCAGTAAATATGACGAAACCATAAAAGTATCAATTAAATTACAATTAATGAGAAATCAACATAAGAATCAATTAGAAATTATAAATATATAGAAACTTGAAAAATAATTTGAAAATTTAAATAAAAACTGATAGAAAATTGCCATCGATTATATTGAGCAAAACTAAACTTTTTAATAGGATATGAAAAATGAAATTCGTATTTTTGTGTGTCTATACATGGACTTTTATGTTCGATTATATTGTTCAAGAACAAGTTGTAGGTTTACGTTTTCATCTAAAAACTTCTTCTAAAATTAAAGATTTGAATAAGATGTTAATATTTTAATTAGACAAGGAAAATATATTATTATCATTGTTTTCATGTTAATTTGTGTTAAAATTCAATAACAAAATTATTAATATAGTACGTTAGTTATAGAAATTAAATTGAAGGTGTTGAAAAATAATTAATACCTAAAATACTTTTTATATGAATGAGAAAAAATTCTTTGTAAACCTATGTAAATTCAAGACAATGGGAGTAACATAAATATTTTCTCGTCTTTAACTGTCATCTTTATATTTACTATGCTTATTAAAATAATTGGTTTTTATGATGGTTATATGTTTACCCTAGTCTAATAATTGAAATGTTTGATCTCACCTTTGACTGTACAAGTTTGTACTTCACAATTACAGTTATTGAAAGAATATTTCTAATTAAAAACTGGTGAGTATCAAAAATGTCTAAAAATACAACTTGATGTGTAATACTAATATATTTAAGTTTTCAAACTAAACAAAATTTAAAAAAAATCGTTATTATTTGTTTTGATATATATCATATCATGATGATATAAATTAATTGTTTTGTTCGTTCGTAAAGTAAAAAAAAAAAAAAAAATGTATGAAGAAAAAAGTAAAACAAAATGTATATTTTAAATAAAATATTGTAATAGAACGGATGTATACAATAACACTTTAAATAAATAAGAAAAAATGTGTCTATTCTTATTTATATATATATAAAAAAAAAAACAATTGAATAAAGCGTGTACACCTAACCTAACTTTGTATATACTTTACCGAAATCATTTTTGGTTTTGCGGGAAACTAGAAAATATTGGTTTTACAAAGATGCGTTTTTATTATTAGTTTATTCGAGCGTTTGCAAATACCGTTTTGAATGAAAGGAACTCTTCAAAAGTGTCATACTGTTCGTCTTAAAGTGAGGAATTCAACACAGATGTTGCTTCGAAGAGGTCATTTTTGGATTGTCATTAAAGTTTTATAGAAAATTTCAAAAACAGTCGCTTATACGGTAACACATGGATTCGGGGGTTAAGGGAAACTTTTCGGACTCTTTTAAAACTTTTTCTTTTAAATCTAGCAACTTGAATTGTCATTCATATTATTTATACCAACGTTTTATTTAAGTTCCAGATATTTTTTTTTTCAAATATGTTTTATATGTTACATTTGAAGGAAGTTATGATTTGTCACATTATTATAACAATAAATTGTATTTTTTCACCTTTTACCCTTATGTTGTCAAGATGTGAGGGAAATATATACAAGTTATTTTGGAAAATATTAATTTAAATATAAATATCCAATCACACAGATTTCATAACACTATTATTTTTCAGGAAATAGACAAATGTAAATAATTGGAAAAATAATGAAGTTCTAATTTATTCAATGTTCAATGACCACATATATATTCCCTAGTCGAATAAAAAATAATTCAGTTGTTAATATATTAATTCGTTTGCATGTACTTTTATTTTTCTCTGTTTATTCACTGGAATAAAATCAGTTTTTACTTTTAACACAACGTATTTTATAATTACATTTTATAAACTGTCATATATTTTAATACAAAATATTTATCGACCAAACTTAATTTTCAATTTATATTTGAATTTATTTATTGTTTTTTGGTTCACACTGTGATCAATTGTATTTTTAAAGTTTAACATAAACATATTATACAACTTTACATTTTTGAATTACATGAAACCATTATCATTGCTGACAGAACATTTAGGATTTTCATAATATTTTACAAAAATGAAAAGTTTAAACATCATGTCATACGAGTATTGAATTTTACCAACTCGAAATTTAACTATATGTTACATATGATATAATTATACCATTTCCTTTTTAATATTTAATACTAACTGATATCCAAACCAAAACGTTTGAATTAAGAAATATTATTTAAACTTTTTTGATTTTTTAATTTTTAATAAATATTTAGCAATTTTAATTTGCTTTTAAGCCAACCAATCAACAAATTAAATTAGTCGTATACGTGTATAATCTATGAATCACACCATTCGTTCACGTTAAGCTGGTTAAAAGAATAATTCAACATTTATTATTTTTAATAATAATATAATGTTATTTTTAATTCTATGTTTACTTAGCATCTTTAAATATTTAAATTTCGTTCTTTAATAAGTATGCAAAGTTATAGACTGAAGGTGAAAATATTATATGAAATATTTTATTTTTTTTTTAAATAACCAGCAGCACCATAGGCACCATTCAAAGCACAAGATTTAATAATATAATAAGGCTCATGAATCTTCGCTTAAATACTAAGATTTTTACAAATTTTTTCACATTGATATTTACTTTTTGAGACTTAGTAGTATAATATAATGGGCGTGTATAGGTGTAAACAAACTAGAGAATAATAAAATATACAGTAAAGTGTAAATTTAAGAAAAACTAATTAAGATAATAATTATTTACAATATGGCTTTCTATATTTTATTTTGTAGATTCGCTTCTTTTATTATTTTTATTTTATAAATTCGACGATAACTGCGAGTAAGGTAAAATTTTCATAGAGAGACTCTCATAATTTCAAGTATATTTATCGACATTATATTATCTGAATACATACAACATTGTGGCCTTATGTGTTTTATGGTTATTTGAGTAACGCTAGCTGGACAATAAAATAATTCTTATAGTTGCTTATATATTTTAGCTGGAATTACGAGTTTTTTATTTGACTAAAAAATAGGGAATCAGATAAATGCAATATGATCAACCGAGTTAATTGCAATGTAATATATAGTACTAAGAGTGTAGGTAAAGATTATTTATGGAGAGGGGGGTTGATGTATTTAAGTAATAATTATTCTTGTTATTACCAATTTATTTAATAGCTGCGATTTTGGCAATGGAGGGGGGGTTAAACCTCCATATCTAAGTATACCAGATATAGATACACCAAAGTATGAGTCTATGAATAGATTAATTCGATGACCTTTCACGAGTAGCACACATAATATTATATAGGCTTACATTCGTCATCATATTTTATATTGGCCGGGCAAACGTGTTGTCAGTTTTTTTTTTTAACAATAAAACGATACTTAAAGTAATTTTGTACTGACAAGTCTAAAAAAAAAAAAGTAATTTATTTCCAATTCATTAGTATAATATATAGTTGGAACCGATGAATAATAAAAGTGTACCGATCACATTGTTGTTGTACACGTAAGCCATAGCTATTATGTTGGCTTACTCTACGTGGGACTATAACTCAACAATACGTTTTTGTTGGCGCATCATCATATTTTATCTAAATATATGACATGCATATATCTTTGAACTACCAAATTCATAATAATATCATGCCGAGTGGCCCGAAAAAAAACATAAATAATTAATAAACATGTAACAATATATTGTGAAGATTATTATTTAGGTCAAATGTTTATTGTGTGAAAATTTGTAAATCATTAATTTAACGTTAAATATATTATATTGAACTTGTATGCTTTTAATTTTATAAAAAATCACTTGTTTGAAAAAAAAAATATTTTTCTATCGATTTTTCAATGCTTTTCGAGGTTATTACATTGTTCACTACAGTTAATTTTATTCATGTAACTATAATCAAGCAATTAAAGGTATCAACAATTATATTTCCCAGTAAATTATGTGATATTTTTATAAATTGTTTATTCATAAAGTATGTAATTCATTAATTTTCATATTATTACGTGAAAATATATTTTTAATTAATTTAATTGATTTAACGCGGTAGATACTAATGGCATGACATATACTGTAATGTGACAAACAATTTTATTTATTATTTAATCGACAAAAATTATGGTGATATATCATACATTATCATTAAAAATCAAATATGAAAAATTCTATTTTTTTTTTTTTGTGTATATTTCACTCTATCATAATTTTTATACAAATGAATAAATTAAAAGTAACCAATAATATTACCAATATTCAAAAACTACAGGTACTCAACTAAACAGTGACTGATTGGACTATACCTAAGTCATTCTAAATCTGTTATATTCTCTATTTATTTATTTAGCGTATGGTTTATGGTGGTTACATGCATTATATTAAATATTATATGGTAACGTATAGTAAATTGAATTAGTGTATAACAGATGAATAAAAAAAAATAAAACGAAAGTAGGGTACTTAGTAGTAT